GAAAATTAAAGGTTATATTCACTCGTATCCCACTGTGATGTAATATTTGTATTGAACTTCATTAAAATAAATAGTTTGTGCTTAAAAATTATTTGCTGAACTACAACAAATTATTGTTTATTTTGGAAGGTGAAATAATTATATACTTACTTCTTTTCACTGTAATTATATATTACGTACTAACTTAGTACATATATCTTTACGTTCATAGTAAATTTAACAGAATATTATTATGGATGCATGTTAATAATACACACATTACGTATAAGAGCTAGAAATTTTCTATATTTTATTTTTGCTTATATGTAAATGTAGGTTACAATTGTTTATATTTTAAAGTGATATATAATTTAATTAATACATTAAATTATAATTAATATTGATGATAAATGCTTTCTCAGTTTTCATATTATATTATTACAGTTTTACATTTTTAGTTAATACTACTCACAATGGCTTCCTCTGATAGTAGTGGTGTGAAACCAATGACAATTAGTGGTCGTTTATCCAGTGAGAGAGAACGTTTAATTGGTATGACAGATGATGAACGTGCATTTAGAGCTCGTTATCTGAAAAGTTTAGAACTTGCACCAGAAGAACCAATAACACCAGAAGGATTGTATAAAGAAACTTATAATCCATTCCGAAGATTTTATAGAGTACCTTTAAATAAATTTGAAGCAGCATTAAAACCTATATTAGTAAGAATATAAAGTTTCAATAAGTAGAAAATAGTTTTATTTATCAGAAAAATATAATTTTATATATTATAATTTGTAGGGTGCAACTGCTGCCTCTATTGCACGTCTAACAACAGCAAGGTTGTTAATGACTATTGTTGGAATATATGGTGGATGGTATTACTACAAGTACAATACAGCAGTATGTTAATTAAATCTTCAGTTATTATATATTAGTGGGTGGACAATGAGAATTACCACCTTAAATATCTCTGGAATTACGAAAGTAAGAGACAAATTTTTCAAGTAAAAGTTGTTCGGTATGAAGAGTATCATTGTATGGTCATAATGGTCTTCATTGTATGGTCTTTTACGACCTTGACTGATCTTGTGTCATGGCTACAAAACAGGAATAACGTTCTCATTTTTTAGTGATTCTACCTATAAAAAAATCATGACCATAATATGGGGTCACATTATGATGTCCCCTCTCATTCGAAAAAGTTTATTCTTACTTTTATGGTTCTGGAGATATTTAAGGTGGTATTTCCTGTTGATTCATCCTGTATATAACACTGAAACATATTCTTTTTGCAGACATGGATGAAACATACAGGCTGGAGAGTGATATATACACGTGATGCAGAATATCCATGTGAAAAAGATTATCCAGGCCTTGTAAAACCTAAGACATGGGCTACAGATAAATTTGAAAACTCTCCTATATAAAAATTACAATCATTGTTGTTAGGTAGTCTTTAAACGTAATAAAATGATTTCAAGCTCATTATGGGTATATTTTCAATTATGTAATTTATAATTACAAATAATACCACACAGTATTAAAAAATTATATTCCTTTTTTAGTTCCAGATTTCTTTTATTTCATGTACAATTTAATCATGTTAATGGAGAACAATTATTCATCTAATTATTTGTACATAATAAGTTTGAAATAACTATAAGAAAAATTATATTTAAACCGTAACGTGATAACAAATAATATAAACGATAAAATTCGATATGTTTATATGCCAAGTTCAGTTATATTTGAAATTAATAATTATATATATTTATCTAAGAAAACCATATATTAGTCTACATCCAAGTTGACTTTCTTCTTTCAATGCTTTCATAAGACCTTCATTCAATCGTAAGCCTATACTTTGACCCATCTAGAAAAATAATTCTGTTAAAAAAAATATTATGTACATATCAAATTTTAACATACATAATATGTAATATTATTACCTGTAGCATTTTGTTAAAAGTATTAGTTTGAATGCTTCCATAACCCAATTTAATCACTGATGAGATTTTATTACTTGGTAATACAGACATAACTATGCTACTTGCACTACATACTTCTTCTTCTGAAGTTGGATCAACAATGTAATTATCTCCAATCTGCAGAAAAATTTATATAAATCACAGCTATGCACTTGATATATTTTAATTTAAGTCCACTACAAAATTCTATTTTAGTTATTATAATATCAAAAATATAAAATAATGTGTATTGACAAAAACATACTTTACACAGTGTTACAATGACTGGATAATTACTTGTGTCCAATTGTATACAGTCATAAAAATCATCTGACAATTGAATATCTGGTTCTCCGCCGTCAAGAGTTGCAGCTGTAATATTTGGTATTTCTGTACTATTCAATGCAGCCTTAACTGCAATTCCTACTGCATCAAAGAGGTTACCACCACACTGAAGAATCTACAATATATATTAACAGTATGTTCTTAAACCACCTTTTTCAAAAGATTTTAGTTATTTAAGTTTATAACAATTATATTTAATTACCAAGACATCAACAAATATTTTCCAACATTTTTTATGGGGTAAAATACATAATGTTCTTAAATCAAAGGCATAACGTGTTTGATAAGCAATTGTTAATGTATTACTTATTTCAGTTGCTAAGTCATCACCACCTTTCCCCTCAAATGCTGGAGTTGCAGTAGCAGAGCTAAAATTTAATAAGAAATGTAAAATACAACAGATATATCGATGTACATGTATCTTTTTAATAGAACATTCTTCAGCTAATAACTATGTATAATTAAACATTAATATTACATGAATAAATTTAAACATAATTAAAAATATAATAAATAATAC